GGAAGTACACTACCCAGGAGCACTGACCACACCCAGCTCCTGAATCTCAACTGGTGAGTACGACTCCTCTCGAAGAGACCAGGATTGCTTCCAGGCTTAAAGCAAACAAAGTCAAAGTTCAGCATGGGTCATCTTGTGCCAGAAAGCAAGCTGTTCCAAGGCTGCTTAAAGGCTGAGGGAGCCACGTCAAAAGGACACAGAGCTGTCTTCTCTTGGACAAACATGGGCGATGTGAACATCAAAAAGGTTAATGACAGTAAGGAGTTACAGTGTATCATTAAAAGAGAATCTACATGTCCATAGTAATACCCAAAAAAGGAGACAATGAGAAAGCCCTCTTTACGAGGAAAATACATGAAATGATGGGACTTGATACTTTCTTTTTTTTAAGATGTATTTTTAAATATGCACACAGAAGAGAGGTACAGGCCAGAGGTTCAGGGAGTGAGAGGATTCACCAGAGACAGAGTGGGGAGCAGAACTGGCAGATGTACTGAAATACCCTGCTGAGGGGAGCAGCGGGCAAGACAGGAGAGGGCTGCTGTGCCATGTGGGTCAGCTCCCTGGCCGGGGGTCAAACTCAGGTCGCAGTAGTGATAGTGTCACAGCACTGAGAGTGAAACTCTATGCCATCAAGAAATCCCCTAAAATCACTGTCATCAACCCCAAATATAATTATAGATTCAGGCAAAAATCATCAACTGATCATGGTAAAGGTGGCCGGTGAAAGGTGTTGAGGAAGAAGACGCTTGCGTAAGCTGAAGAATGTGCCCCAACAGATCTGAGTGCTTCAGGGGAGAGGGCAGCGAGGGGCCTGCTGGACATCACAGCCCAACCTCCACCAGCACAGGCTCCTACTGGCGTGCTCCAAGCACCCATCGTGGGGACCACATCTGAGTTCACCTGAATCTGCCAGGAGGTAGTGACAAAGCAGAGCTGGGGACAGTCTAGGTGGCAACCAGCCTGGGTTCTCTGAAAGACTGAAGTGAAAAGCAGAGGGCAAGGAAAAAGCAGAGACTATTCTAGATTAAGAGGGATTAAAGAGACTTAACAACCAAATACAATGTGTGAACCTTGAATCCTGAACTTAAAAATGAATTGTGTTTGGGCCCTCCCACCCCGGAGGTGACCACATGGCGCGGCAGACCTCTCCTGACCCGCCCGCTGCTCCCCTCAGCAGTGTGCTTCGTCAGTCGGCCTGTTCTCCTTCCCACTCTGTCTTTGCACCTCTCTCACCCCATGCACCTCCGGCCTGTATCCCAGTTCTGTATGCATGAATAAATCTTTAAAAAATAAGTCTTTGGTAGTCATCAACAGCCTGTGGGAACAATGAGGGACATCTAAATACAGACTGTTCGGTACCTCAGATGTCCAAACACTCAACTTTTTAGGTAGCCAAGCGTCCGTGAGGTTGTTCATATTCTTGGGTAGTTTCTGCTCGAGTATTTCTGGATGAGCATCAAGTAGGGTAGCTGTACCCTACTTCCAAATGACTCCCCAAAATGGATGAAACAGAATACAAACATGGCAGAATGTTAACAAAGCAAAGGCACAACAAGTTCATAGACCTACTCTTTCCATTTTTCTGTAAATTTTAAAAGCTTCCTAAATGGGACCTTGGGGAAGCTAGCAGCTCTGTACTAGCCGGACACTCAGCCGAAGGGAAGTCTTGCGCCCCCAGTGGTAAGAGCTTGTAAATGCCAGCACACAGTGCTCGTGAGAGGTGGTTGAGTTGCTTGGGTGGGTCCACACTGCCCGGGTGCCAGAGGAGGCTGAGGCTGCTCTCTGTCGGGAGGGCAGACACTACAGGAGCCAGCTGAGATGGACAAGGGGGACATCAAACCCAACTCACGCGTCATGAGCTCCCAGAGTCCAAGCCCACTCCGAGGCAGGAACCCGTCAGAAGCTGAGCACAGGATGCAGACAGGGGGATGGGGAGGAGCAGGAGGCAGGATGGCAAGGAAGGCACGGAGGGGAGTCGCAGAAGCCAGCAGAGGTCCTGAGGTGCTGCCAAGATGCCAAACATGCTACGGACAGCTGTCACTGGGGTTAAAAATTGGGTTTAGAAAATGTATGGATTTTTCCCCTGCCAGTGGGGCAGTCCTGGATCAACTCAAGAGACCAGGGTGCAGAGTCAAGGTGCACCAAAATGCTATTTGGCACCTCTTTTGTGCCACTGACCACTTCCCCTGCAGCGCTGACTTGGGCCTCCTGCTCATTTTTAGTGTTTCCAGGTGGACCACCTGCCCCTCTAGAGGCCACCTGGGTTCCCCTGCCGGAGAACACAAGATTCTTGGCCCATCCTTCCTGGCTGATTTTTTTTTTCCTATTTGGTGATCTCTAGGGAGGAAGCAGGCCTGGGCAGTTTTAACATGCTCGCGCAAAGGATGAAGAGGGCTGCTTGATGTCAAAGCTAGTCCAAAAGCCCAGAGATAAGAGATGAAGAGCAACCCAAAGTAGGGCTTTGGGTGAGAGCAATAAGATGGATAATAATCATACCAAATACATTTATCATTCCTCAGAAGCTGATGATCCGCGAGGGCGAAGAAGCGAGAGGAGAAAAGAGGAACTAAGCCAGCCATCTCACCAGGCAGAAGCAGTTCTGCAGCGTGAGTCGGTTGCCTGGCACCCATCCAAGAAACCCAATCCAGAGTTGGTTCTGTGGGCTTGTGAAGGGTCCCACCCAAACTGACCAACTGAATCAGCGTTTTCAGTCTGCCATCCAGTTGCCTGGGGCCATATAGACCTGGCTCGGCAGAAAGCAAGATCGCCTCACGCTGGTCTCCTCCAGTTACAGAGTGCTGACCACTGCAGCCGGGAAAGCTGAGAGCTTTCGTCATCTCACACATTTGCGAAATTCATTGGCTTTAACAAACTGTTCCCCAAACACCTGGCCGGTACATTCTCCTCTATTCAGCATGTGCTATATCATATTCAGAAAGTGCTTATAAACTCTCACTTGCCTTGAATAATATCCATCAGCTGTCAGAAAAGCTAAAACCCATCTTGGCTCTGGCAAAATGTTCACTTCAGGGAAACGCACAAGCCAATTTGGTCAGACTTAATAAGTTTTAACAAAACCCAGGTGAAGGAATCTATCTGGAAAAGCAAAATCTTACAAGCAACTACAAGAAATACTTCTCTGAGGAGGCAGTGCAGGGGAGAGGTGTGGCCCCCAGTACCGTGCATGGCAGAAGGCGACCTGAAATCGGATATCACAAGTGGGAATGTTCATGCAACCCTGATCTTAGGTGGTGGTTTCCAAATGTCTCAAGCCGGTGTGACCTCCTTGCTTCTCCCCCACCCCCCAGACCACATCTTGGAACCTTCAGGCTTCATCCTAGAGGTAATCAAGTTGAAAACCCATTAAATCTTATGAACCTTCATTTCCCCTCTCCCCAAAGACCACAGACAAGAACACTGTAGAACCTATTTTTAAAACATCTAGCCTGTTATAATTCTGAATATGAGGCATGAGGGAAGCAATTCCTTAAGTTTAAGGGAAATTGTTCCTGATTCTAGCAGGATCTGCTCTGTTTTATGTGCAAAGGTACAAGGCCACGTGAGCAGTTCACGAGCGCTCCATTTAGCATATGCCAAGCATTCAGAATATATAGGCATGCTTTTTATAGAGCCATTGCATTCCCACACTGGCTTTAGATTTGAAACCCATGCCTGGGTATGAAAAAAGACCAGGTGTTGTGCCTTGCTAATAATAGGACTCACCTTCCTGAGGCTCCAAGCGAGCTGGACAGGGAACGTGTCCCACTGGGCGCATACAAAGGATGGACGCGACAGCAGCCTCAGCCAGCAGTTCTGCCCATCCACCTGACAAGCTCTGTCGTGTTTCCCAGATACCACCAAAGATACCCGACCCCCCGTACACACATGGACCTGATGAAGGTGCACAGGTGCTGGTGTTAAGAGTGTACTAAAGACACCTAACAGCCCCTTAAAGGGAAGTTCTACAAGTTCATGGCTAAAATCCAACCCAACTAGAAAACGGCTCTTCAATAAAAAACAAGCTAAGGGGGCCCTCCCTGGTGGCGCAGCAGGTTAAAGCACAACACTAAGAAGCTAAAGCCACTGCAGCATGAGTTCGATCCCCGCCTGTCCCGGAGGTGACCACATGACGTGGCAGGCCTCTCCTGACCCGCCCGCTGCTCCCCTCAGGAGTGTACTTCGTCAATCTGCCTATCCTGCTCCCCACTCTGTCTCTGGTGAATCCTCTCACCACCCTGCACCTCTGGCCTGTATCCCAGTTCTGTATGTATAAATAAATAAATCTTAAAAAAAAAAAAACAAGCTAAGAGTTGTGATTTGACAGAATCTAAGGATCCCCTATTAAAGCCTTACCACCCAAACGGCTGTGGAAATAAACCAGCTCTTCTTGATGAGCTTCCTCCACAGTGGGGCCACCCCAGAACCTGCCGTCATGGGCCACTGTTCTTCATGGACCTGTCGGTCACCATCCAGGGGACTTTCTGTTGGTGCTCTTCGGACACTATGGAAGGGACGACTCGTGGGCAAATTCAGAGAGTGCAACTATCTATGATTTTAAACTTTCTCGGCTGAAAATTTGCTTACAGAGAAGGCTAAGGGGGATTTAGTAGATTTTCATTTGGAAAGGGTCCAAAATCTCTTATTCACTGGTCCTGACTCTCCCAGACAGAAATAACTGACCCCCTCCCACCCCCGTAGTGGTACAAGTTAAAGTGCAACACTGCAAAGCTGTCTGCAGCCACTTCAGCATGAGTTCGACCCCCGGCCAAGGAGGTGACCCACATGACACAGCAGGTCTCTCCTGACCCGCCCGCTGCTCCCCTCATCGATCTACCCGTTCTGCTCCCCACTCTTTCTCTGGTGAGTCCTCTGCACCTCTGGCCTATACCCCAGTTCTGTATGTATAAATAAATAACCTTTAAAAAAAAAAAAAGAAAAGAAAGAAATAACAGACCCCAAGAGAAGTTTGTCACATCTTTTTATGTACAAACCGTCAATGATACAGATGGAGTTACTTTTTATAAATATTTGCAGCAAATCCCCTAAAAAAGTGGATAAAACCTAGCTCTCAGCACAAAGGGCCTGTCCAGCCCCAAAAGTGTCAACTTCCCAAGAACCTATTCTTAGTCAGACACTTGTGGGGCCCCCTGGGAAGGGCAGGAGGCTTGCTCCAGGACCCAGGCAAGCGCCTTCCCATCTCCCCAAGGGGCCGAGGTGACTTGAAGGTCATCTGCTGCCCAGGACCTGGGAGTGATTAAACTCTTTCTTCCCAAGACTTCAGTCTTCCTTGTCAAGCTGCTGATTAAGCAGTCTCTCTGTTTCCTGGCAGTGGCCCAGAGGGAGGGAGGAAAGGAACCTACAATAGTGTGAGGAAGTAAAAAACTCTGGGTATTTTGATAAAAAACACTCGGTGATCAACATAACCCTGGAAAGCCAATGCATCAAATTCACCAGAGGGAAGATTGTTACTGAACAATCCGGAAACTACAGACAAGTTTTGTTTTCTGGTTTTTTTTGTTTTGTTTTGTTTTTTTGTTAAGGAAGATAATTACTTAGCACCAGTTTCTCTCTGTTTCTCTCTCTCTGGTAATGCCTCACTCTCCGTCCACCCCTTGGCTGTGACGGGCGCTGTCGGGAACTGCTCAGCGCACTTACAATCAACCAGGGCCACAGTCCTGCAGGACGCAGCAGGTCACACACCACAGAACAAAGAGCGCTCCACACCAAAATGCAAGTCTTCTCGGGGGTGGTCCCGACTCTGGGACCAGGCGGTCCAAGGTGTCCTCCCGGGGCTGCTGCTTGGCTCTCCAGGCCAGAGGCCTTCACTCAAAGCGACGCAGGTGGTTGTACAGAGACTGGACGTAAGTGAAGACACACATGGGGTCCGGCTTGCGGCCCATCACCATCATGTCCTCCACCTCGATGAGGCGCTCACAGTTGGCCAGGTTCCTGAAACACAGAGGCCTCCCTCAGATGGCGGTCGGCAGCCAGCCAGCCCAGGGGCACATGGCCACAGCTCCCAGGACAGAAGTCAGCCGGATCTGGAGGGTCCCAGGTGCCCCCAGAATTCAGACCACAGTAGAAACTTCAGGGTCCCTGGCCTAATGCAGAATTTCCCAAAGCCCCCTATCCAGGAGCCTTCTAAATGAGGTCAGGAGGCAGAGTTCCCACACTTGCTACACCTGCAAACTACCCTACCCACAGGGCCTTGCAAGTCCCACTGTTTGCCCTCAGGCAGAACTGAGGCCTAGAGCCTTCCAGAGGTTATTTAGGGACTTTTCAGCCTTGGGTTCCCAAGTACATGTGGATCTCACCATGAATGTACCTCCATTCTACAATCTTCTGTTTTCTGAATTATCCCTGTTTGCTGTTGGAATAACTGATTATTTTTGCTGGAACCCAACACACTTATATAACCCATATCAACTTCATAGACTAACTTCATTTCAGCTTTACATGAAATTAAATTCATTTTAAAAGTTCAATAATCAGGCCTTCCCTGGTGGTACAGCAGGTTAGGATGCAGGCCAGCCCCAGCTGCTTCAGTGCGAGTTCGATCCCCGCCCTGGAGGTAGCTGACCCACATGG